TCTCACGGAAGGATTGAAGTGATTGACTTCATATATAAGAATTGGGTGGGTACAATTAAAAAATTATTCCTAATTGTGATTATTATCTGAGTTTCAAAGCAGAATGTCTTCAAAAATATTTTTCTATTAAGATGCAGTGTGTTTTCAAGTAAAAAAAAAAAAAGAGTTAGATAAAGGTGACAAACCTTAAGAAAAGTGATGGAGGTCCTTTTGTTATTTTTGTTAGGGATTATCTGTGTTAGAACCAAATTGGGCTCCATTACTACACTGATAATACAACCTAGAAACAAATGTGGCTGTCACACTAAATAAAGAAAAACTGACTGACATACCAGGATCCTGAATTCTGTTTTCACTTACTAAGTAAGGTCTTTGTGAATTTGGCTTTCTCTCGTGCATGCTCTCTCCCTCTCTCTTTTTCTCTCTTTGATACTGGCCACTCAAATTTTATTATAGAAAAACTATTCCGAGGTACAAAGAGGTACTCATCTCAAATTATAGGGACTTAAACAAAATGAATATAATTAGCTGTGAGTTGGTAAAAGGGCATATGATTAATCTGAGTACCATTTACTATTCTCCTCCCCCAAACTCCATAAAGTACTTACCTATTACCATAATTTTTATAAGATCTCAAATAGCCAAAAAAATTATAAGTAAATTATAATTTGGTTTGGAACTCAAAAAATAGTTCTTAGTAGTTTTTGTTCCAGTGTGGCAAAAACGCCATAAACAACCAGGTATTAAGTATCCAGCTTATCTTCTGAAGCAAGATGCATATTGCTATTCTGTTAACTCAACTCTGAAACTCCAAACAATTTTAAAAGTTTTTATTCTCTCAGTTTATCACTTCCCTTGTGTCCAGGCAATATATTCACTGATGGCGGGCAGAGGCATAACCATGACAATCAGCGGTTCAAACGGCAATAAAATGGTCTTATCATAGGAGCTCAGTCTACTGTCCAATGGTATTTCGAGTATATAATCTTTGTATATTTATATAATCATTCATCTAATACTCTGATATATGTAAAGAAAACCATGCACATTTCACCTAGAATGTTCCCCCATCAATATACTGTGTAAAAGAATGCACATACAGCAAAAGAGAGCAGCAGCAATATAGAACGGGATCCTACTGTACCTGGTGAATGAGGCGGAGGAGAGCACATCAGAACAACCCCCTGGCCTTCCCTCACAGAGACTGCACTTCTTGTCCGGCCACTAAAATTTCCCAGATCTGTCAACATAACACAGCATTTAGATGCAAGGCAAAAGGAATTTAAAGAATTACTACTACTGTAATTTGTACTCACTTTTCTATTAATCTCCTGACAAGAATTTTGTTTATTAAGCAGTGATAGGAGGAACTTAAAAATAAATCTATACCATCCAATTTTAAATACTACAATTTAAGTAAATACATACCATCCATACAATTGACACATATGTTATTTTTATTTACAGTGCATATAAGTTTCCAGTCTAGGAAGACTTGACGATACAGAATTTTTAACACATTAAGTACTTATTTTATTTCTTTACAATATTTCCTACGTATTGATCTTTCTACTACCAATAAAGCTCATTCACTCATAGTGAGAAGAGAAATTGTAGTGGTTAGGAGTGCCTGTGTCCAACATGCTTTTCATTATATGTCATACTAAGAATGGCATGTAAAATCAAGCACAAATTCACCAAATTAGAGAGACTTGTGTGCTCTGACAAGATATAATGAGGATATAAACTGTTCTTTTTCTATAAGCGTGAATGAGAAACTCATGTCACTTTCATTTTATGGAAGTCTATAATGGACTCTACAAATTAATTATATGCATCCATTTTGATTAGTCTGGGAGTATTACAGCTATCAAAACTCTCTCTTATATGTATATAAGCATTGGAGTTCAATTGCCTTTCCTTAAATTATGTTGCATTTGTGCAATTTGAAAAGATTTTCCTAAAAAGAAAGTGGTCCAAAAGGTTATGATGTGCGTAAGTTTATTTGTATTTCTATTATTGTTTATTAATCTATCTATCTATCATCTATCTATCTATCTATCTATCTATCTATCTATCTATCTATCTTTCTATCTATCTATCTATCTATCTATCTATCTATCTATCTATCTATCTATCTATCTATCTATCTATCTATCTATCTATCTATCTATCTATCTATCTATCTATCTATCTATCTATCTATCTATCTATCTATCTATCTATCTATCTATCTATCTATCTATCTATCTATCTATCTATCTATCTATCTATCTATCTATCTATCTATCTATCTAATCAGTACTTATGACCCTTTCCCTTTTCTTGGGCTAGGTTGACCAATAACACAATTTTTAGAATAGTTTCTTGTGAAGAGTAGAAGTTAAATATTTTTATAAATACACATTGTCTCAGAAGTCTGGGTCTGTAAAATCATGTTTCCATGGTGAGAAATGCTCCTGAAAATGTTCTGGCATAACTTCCATTATACACAAAATTTAAAAGAGATTTTAAAAGTCTTTTAATTATTTCATGCTAAAATAGTACATTTCATAGAAACACAGGTATAGCCTCAAATTTAATGCATACTAATCTGACAAATGATGAAATTAAACAATCAAGAAAATATACTGGATGGATATGAAGGAGATAAATCACTAGTTTTTATTGTCCTAAGGAGAATCCTACACATTGTTGTTTTTTGAGAGATGGGTGGCTATTAAGTTATTTGCTGAATTTATAATTAAATCTTCTGAGATACATCCAAAATCTTGGAGGACTAATGAACAGTGAAAACATAATGCCAAATAAATACTCAGAGAAGTATGTATTGCTGGAGAAAATGTTTAGTTAGGATCATATACAAAATTCTATAATTCACTGTAAATAGCTAAGCTTTTCACAAAGTAGTAAGACAAATGAGAAAGAACAGTTCCAGCTGTATTTTCTGAGGAGTTATTTTTAAAAGTCACTAATTTTTATAACAAAAATCAAGTTCATTTCCAATACATGTACCCAAGTTTACTCCTCTGATCTCTATTACCAAACATTGTTTGTCTCTTTTTGAATTTCATATGTATGTGAAAATATAATATGTGCATTTTTGTGTCTGAAAACAAACAAATATATGTGACTTGGCTTTAAACTCATACGCATCGAGACTGTCTTTTTTTCCAACAAATGATCTCAATATGAAAACAAAGCATGACAAGATTTCTAATTTGACTTCCTTTGACTCTACCCCTAGAAATACAACACGAGAATCACAGAGTGAGGCAGTGGTTTTGGTGGGCTTTTAATACCTTCTTCAGGGATTATATGATTTAACTTTTCTCTTTTCATCCTCACTGAATTTATAAATTCTGGGAGGCTACTTG